CCTATGAATACCCCAAAACTTCACTGAAAATTACGAAACACTGTATGTTAAACGATGTCTGATTGATTGATTGCTATTCCCTTATCCAAGTATTTGCATGATTCGATGATGAATAGTGTGGTGAGATCAGTGATGACTAAGGCAGAGTTTAATTAATCACTCAATTTCTTTTGGCTGTCTTAACTCAGTCACTGCTGTTTGTCATTTGTCATTGAAGATAATATTATCACTGCTATTAAAAAATATCGCTATCATTGCTATTGCCAGTGTTCTTCTCACGGCTAGTACTCGTATTACTCATATTACAACTATCGATGTTAAATGTTATCATAGAAGTTCAACACTTTTTAAAGCAAACTGTCGGCAATGTCTCGACGAGAACGACTCTCTTGCAGAAAAGAACATTTTTTTGGTTGGTCTCGATCGATTTGAGACTGCGTTGGAAATTTGAGAATGTGAACTGTGGACACAACTGATAAAGTAATGATAATGTTATGATAAGATTGAACAAATCACTGCAGTAGAGTGATGAAACTTTACGCCTACCAATATTATTATATGCTGTTTATAATGAGATGACATTCTCATTCTAAGCAATTATAAAAAACAAATTCAGCACAATAATGATAAGACTGTAACTGATAAAGCAACAACTAACCCGTCTTCATCGATAATCGTCTGCATGTTCCCTTGACCACTATCAACGGTGCACGTATGCAGTAACATACAATAGAAATCACCCTTTTGCTCAGAGCAATCCCACTGATGATAGATTATATCGCCTGCACAATAATTTTGCTTTAATTACAACAATATCAACAGCTAATCATAGCAATGAAATATAATTCCGAACCTAAATTCAGTGAAACCGCGGCACTGCCATTACGGCCTCCTGCAAGCAGTGAGTACTTGCAAACGGGCATTTCAGGTTGCATGATCATCTCGGTGGTTTGCAGTGGACTAGAAACATTAATAACATAGAATGATAAGTACTGATAACAATAATAAGTATTGATGAAAATAATGATAACTAAATAAAGTAGTACCTAACGCTAATATCCGATTGTACGATGTGACTTTCTTCCTGGTAGAAGCATTCGACCTGGAGGAATAATTTGCTGATTATATCAATAACATCAGATAATCATGATGGTGATGATAACATTAAAGACGATAAATAATATTAAAAATAAAAGTGATAGTGACCTTGTAAGCTCTGTCCTTATATGT